AACAATTACATTAACCTACCTATTAATAAAGTGGAGGATGCCCTTGAACATTTTTCTAAACGTAACTAACCTACAAGTAAAAATATCTAACTCAGGTGACGACCTTGCCAGTTCGTTATAGGTACGACACATTCGGGTAATGGGATTATAATAAGATATATTGTTTTTGTAAATTAGCAATGCAAACAAATTGTTTTGGTTGACCCTCCGAGCACTAAATTTAATGTTTAATGAAATCTGAGATAACAGTTCAGGCGAATCCAACAGAGAGTGAATTATCTTATATAAGTATATCAGATCAGTGCATGTACGTCGATCTTCTAGTGACTGCATGTTATAGTTTAATAGTCTTTGCTCGTATTTAAGTTCAGAGCGGCCTGGTTGTATACGATAACTTAATAATCTTAAACACTTCATTTGCACACGCTCAATAGTGTTAATGTGCACTCTGTAATTAGGGGACCATATTGGACTGCCGTATTCCAATACACTTCTCACTAAACTCATGTACAGATACAAAACACTCCGAGGATTCTTAAAATCTTTTGATGATCTCAATACAAACCCCAATAACTTATTTGCCCTAGAAGTAATCTGTTCATAGTGTTCATACTTAATTGATAGGCTAATATTTATATTATGAGTGTTGGACTCCCTAATAATAATGACAATAAATCATAATGCTAATTTTAAATGCCCACCGAAGCGGGCGAGTATGTACGGCTAGTCTTCTTCTTCTTCTTCTCTATATATATAAAAATGAATTACTGTTCGTTAGTCTCGCTAAAACTCGAGAACGGCTGAACCGATTTGGCTAATTTTGGTCTTGAATTATTCGTGGAAGTCTAGAGAAGATTTAAAAGGTAGATAAATATGAAAATGCTCGGAATTAAATAAAAATAACAATTTTGTTTTCCCTTTGATATGTCCCCCGTTGGACGGATTCCTTTTGTTTGTTATAAGTTTATTTTATACAAAAGTTTAGGTATTTTATTTATCGATTGAGGCACTACGAAGTCTGTCGGGTCAGCTAGTAATGACAACAAATAATAATGTTAATTTTAAATCCCCACCGAAGTGGGCGAGTATGTACGGCCAGTTCCTTAGAAAAGTATTTGAAGGGGTTTAATCCTTGTGAGATGAATAATGAATGAATAATAAATGTTGATACAGAACATCATCGATACAACTGAGGCCGAGCGTGGCGGAGAGCGCGTCCCTCCGGCGCCGCAACTCGGACCCGGCGCCGGGCGACGCGCGCCCCGCTGACCCGCTCTCCGCAGACTTCATCGGGCAGACCGGGAACGGACTCTTCCGCATCGCCGGACACCGGTGCGCACGCTTTTGTATTCAAACCGTTACTAGAAAGTTCTCTATAAACACCACGTACTTTTTTTTTATTATTGCTTAGATGGGTGGACGAACTCACAGCCCACCTGGTGTTAAGTGTTAAACTTGTATCTCAAGGTGATTGGCGCATTTACGTTGTAGATGTCTATGGGCTCCAGTATCCACTTAACACCAGATGGGCTGTGAGCTCGTCCACCCATCTAAGCAATAAAAAGTTCCCTATAAACACCACATAGCTGTTGACCTATGCGACTTACTTGATTCATATAGAATGCTAGTCCGGCCTTATCTTTGATAGCTTTGCTTGTAACAGGTTTCGCAAAGGCACGCGTTTCGCGAAAGGCGACAAATGCGTGTACTGCCACCAAGCGATCGACGCGTTCGTCACGCAGGGCCAGAAATGTATCGACTGCAAGGAGCTCTACCACACAAAGTGCATTCAGAACAAGGGCGTCATCACGATGCCCTGCACGAGCCCCGTCGCCGTCGCCTCCAGAGCGCGACCGAAGAACAGAAAGCGCATCATGCCCACCACCAACCACAACCCGCCGGCCGACCAAAAGAATTCGGTCACTTCGAACTTCAATCTCACCGGCACTTCGGAATTTATCGACAGAACCGACAAAATCATATCCGACGCTACCGAATTACAGGCCATGCAGAATTTCATTATGGAAAAAATATACGACATGAATAATGAGAACAAAAAACAGTCTGAGGTAAGTTTCTGAATCTAAATTATATTGTGTTACAGAACTTATAAGTGCCTATTAATATTAATCACTACATATTTGAAAATCTATATATATATATAAATGAATTGCTGTTCGTTAGTCTCGTTAAAACTCGAGAACGGCTGGACCGATTTGGCTAATTTTGGTCTTGAATTATTTGAGGAAGTCCAGGGAAGGTTTAAAAGGTAGATAAATATGAAAATTCTCGGTATTAAATAAAAATAACAATTTTGTTTCTTCTTTCATGTGTCCCCCGTCGGACGGATTCCGTTTGTTTGTTTTAAGTTTATTTTATACAAAAGTTTAGGTCTTTTATTTATCGATTGAGGCACTACGAAGTCTGCCGGGTCAGCTAGTGAATAATAAAAATAAATTTGAATCAACAGGTAGACAGGGTATTCAAGCACGCTTTGCTAGAATTCAAAGACAATCTGGTAGCGACGTACAGCATCGTCGAGACTCGAGGCTCAGCTCTTAAGTACAAAGATTTGATCGGGAACTTCCTCCACGTGATGGAGACGGTCTGCGCCAGGGAAGGGTCCACGCTGTCCATCACTATGGGGGTCAATGCGTTCAGAGGATTCATGGATGAGTTTATGGGTCAGCATGAAACTGACAAAGCTAGAACTAAAAGGAAAAAAGAAAAAAAGCGGAAAGTAAGTAGTCCAAATAATATTACGCAAACAATATGTGTATTTTGTTTAAAAAATAGACTCGCATTGTAGTTAAATAATTGCAAACGAATTTAAAGTAAAAACACACGTAATGACTTCCGCCTTAAAGTTTAAATTAAGTTGCGCAGTTCGTAAAGAAGGCATGGAAATAATACATCTGATCTTCCTTAGGTAGACGACCCGATACAGTACAAGGGCCACAGCTTCGTCCTCTCGATGATCAATATACCGACTGAGTGCGAGATATGTAAGACGTTCTTCATGTGGCCGATCGAACGATCCCTCATCTGCCAAACGTGCCGGCTGGCCTCACATAAGAAATGCTACACGAAGGTACGTACAAATTTCGTTTTGATAGATCCTTTCTTTGTAAATAATATCTATACTAATATATAAATCTAAAGTGGTTTTTACGGATGTTCCGTTATAACTACTGAACTATGCATCCGATTGACTTGAAACTTAGTGTCCATGTAGAAAATACATGTACTTAATGTATAGGCTAATATTTATATGAATGTTGTACTCCCTAATAATAATGACAATAAATAATAATGTCAATTTTAAATGCCCACCGAAGCGAGCGAGTACGGCTAGTAACTGATAAAATTATATCAGTAATTTTTATATTTTAATTTATGACAACCCTAATAAAAAAACAATATGTATCTGTGTTATTGTTTGATTTGGGATGTCCGTGTTCATTTGAATATGTCTAATATGTTCAGGTAACGACTTTATGTAGAAGAAACGGCGTAATGCCATCCCCTTCAATCGTCGGCGCTGTTGATGCCGGAGGACGGGAACAAATGGGCATTGTGACAAGGGGTAAAGTAAGTATAATAAAGTAAATTATAACGGTACTATAACGCATCTTTCGATAGAAACGTCAAATGTTAGTGGTGGTAGGACCCCTTGTGAGTCCGCGCGGGTAGGTACCACCACCCTGCCTATTTCTGCCGTGAAGCAGTAATGCGTTGCGGTTTGAAGGGTGGGGTACACGTTGTAACTGTACTGAAACCTCGGAACTTGTATCTGAAGGTGTGTGGCGCATTTACGTTGTAGATGTCTATGGGCTCCAGTAACCACTTAACACCAGGTGGGCTGTGAGCTCGTCCACACATCTAAGCCACAAAAAAAAAAATGTGTAAAAAATTCTACAAATCTCACAATGTTCAAAATAAAAATACCAGCAGGTATTAATGCCATAAGCTAATTAGTTACTGTTAAAAATTCAAAAGGTTAATGGATTATTTTTTGATTAGGTATTCGGGGTACCACTGAGTGAGCTGCCCACCGGAGACACCAATATACCAGTAGTAGTGGATCGACTGATCACTTCTATTGACTTAAAAGGACTCTACACTGAAGGACTTTACAGAAAAAGCGGACTCAGTTCGAAGGTATGTTATTTAAGATAATTTTCAAAGGTTTTCATTAAAAACAACACATTTTGTCATAAAACTTATTAACATCCCTATTCCTTTAAAGTTTACGCTTAATAGTAAGTACGTGTGGCCTTAAACGGCTCCCGGGGCTCGCCTTAGGACGTAACGTCTCGGGTAGTACTTTGTACGTATACGACAAAGGGAAGATCTTTCACCGAGCGGGTGATATTGCTCGGTAGACTGACGGGCCGAATGTTCTTCTTTGGAACTTGTATATATGCACTTGTGTTTACTGGTGGAAGAATAACGATAGCAACGAGAAACAAATAACAAAGAAGTAACAATATGAAAGTATTCTGAACGCGACGATACTGTCATAGCTCAGCGAGTATGTGATTGGTGTAAGAACGTAGCACTCACATTAACGCGCGGGAGGCGAGGACGCTTGCGGGCGTGCCCTGCCTCCACGCCCCGCGCACGTCCCGCTGATACCTGATTTTGTGTTCTGCGCAGCGTAATGCGGCTAGGTTCGGAGCGGCCATAAAGGTTGGCGTGTACTATAGTTGTCGTTCAGATTTGGCGATTTCTGGCTATTTTTGTTTTTGTAGATTGAATATTTAATTATGTTTTGTACAGGTATCAAAAAACTATTCATTTCAGTAAAAAAAAATTTTTCCTTTTCCCGCCACTTGACAGCACTGCAGTAACTATTTATGATACTAAAATATTCAGTAAAAGAGTGCGCATGTATGTATTATTACATATTATATATTTAATATGGATTGATTATAAAAGTGTCGTTTATCTTTAAACTTTTTTAAATAAAAGAAGAAAAAAGTTATGTGTACGTATATTTCATTTAAATATTGGCGCTTACTTGAAGTTTTATTTATTTTTTATTTCTTAGATGGATGGACGAGCTCACAGCCCACCTGGTGTTAAGTGGTTACTGGAGCCCATAGACATCTACAACGTAAATGAGCCACCCACCTCGAGATATAAGTTCTAAGGTCTCAGTATAGTTACAACGGCTACCCCGCCCTTCGAACCGAAACGCATTACTGCCTCACGGCGGAAATAGGTGCGGTGGTGGTACCTACCCGTGCGGACTCACAAGAGGTCCTACCACCAGTGAAAAAGTGAAGTACTACTAGCGCCACATTACGGTCATAAGAAACACAGAGCCGTAACTTGGCTGCTTCGGAAACAAAAAATCTGGTGACCCTATTGTCTTTGTGGTAGGTGCGCGAGCTGCGGCGCCTGCTGGACGAGCGGCCGGAGGAGGGCGTGGAGAAGCTGGACTCGTACGCCGTGCACGTGCGCGCCTCCGTGCTCAAGAGCTTCTTCCGCGAGCTGCCGGAGCCGCTGCTCACCTTCGATCTCTACGACGACTTCATCCTGGCTGCTCAGATATCCGATCCCCAGGTAACCTTCGTTTCATTGACTATCAAAACCGTACATATCACCAAGATGAGATTGAGAGGAATTCACATACCACGAGCGCGAATACGTATATATTTTAACATTTATGTATATCAGTCTCTGGTTCTTCCATAGTACAGGGCATCCTAGTTTGGAGACAGATAACTATGATTTGTGCCGGATTATACACACATGGGTCTATACACCTACTAACATTGAAATATTTAATAAAGCTATATTATAGACTGAATCGGAAATTTAAGCATCTAAAAATGACCTTTCTCCTTCGCCACATTTTTTTTTTTAATACAATCACGCCACGTTAACTGGTCCGATGCTAAGTTCGTAAAGAACTTGTGTTACAGGTACCAGATAACGGAAATAAATGTAAGATTTTTATTATACACATACATATATTTAATATACATCCATAACCCTGAAAAAGACATTTTATATTTATCATCCAAATATCTTCTTTTGGCGGGATTAAAACCCGCGGGCCCCTTGTGTAGTGACCGTGACACTTACCACTACACCAGACGGACGTTAATTTAAATAAATATAAATAATAATAATATAAAGCTAATTCAAACCTTTTTTTATAGATAGACTTTAAAAAAATTAAATATGTCAACAGGAGCGAGTTTCGTCAATATTTACAATACTAAAGAAACTGCCGAAACCGAATTTCGACTTGGTGGAAAGGTTAATATTTCACCTTGCAAGAGTAGCGCTGCAAGAAGAACACAACAGGTAATTTATTTGTTTTAATAAATTATGTTTATTTTGTTGGGTGATTAAAATTCAAGTCATGTTCTTTTAATCTAACATTATAAATATCTCCTAAAGTATATAATTGAATTTTTAAAGAGCTACAATGCAATTGCGTCCCTGCTTGTTGACATCGGACACAAATTTCCAGATTAAAATTTTATGTGTTTTTCTTCAAGCACACGATCTATTTCTAAAAGACCTAAGAGATTAAATCGACGCTTGAAAGGCAAACGTGACTAAGCGATAATGCGTGAACTTTACAGTAAACTAATAAAGTTGAAATACCTGAAAAAAATTATATTTTAACGAATCTAGCTGTAGGATTGAAATGGTTTTAATAGACCTAGATATTTTTTTTTTTTGCGCATCGAATATGGTTATTGCCTATCATTTATGTATGAAGCAGTTACGTTTGCCTTTCAAGCGTCGATTTAATCTTTTAGGTCTTTTAGAAATAGATCGATCGATACAAATAGATCACAAACAAAATAAGGCAATCCAGGCCCTTCAACTGCCATGTAAGTCACCCGTGGCCCTACGTAGGGCATCAGTGAACTACACCCATAGACACAGCCCACTGAGTTTCCCGCCGGATCTTCTCAGTGGGTCGCGATTCTGATCCGGTAGTTGATTTTGCGAAGTGCTGCTCTTGTTAGGGCCTTCAACTGCCATGTAGGTCACCGGTGCGCTGCGCGGCGCACTATATTAATTATGCTGATTTCTCTTATTAACTATACAAGGATCGGAATGTGATGACAATCGTGTATTAATTAATATTGTTTGCGACACAGAATGGGACCGAACGCCTTGGCGATAGTGTTCGCGCCGTGCATCCTGCGCACGCACAAGGTGCAGCCCGCGCAGGACTCGCTGCACGACATCGCGCGCCAGACCGCCTGCCTCGAGGCCATCCTCGTCGACAAGATGCGAACCGTAAACATAACATATCATATTATTTTTATTGCTTAGATGGGTGGATGAGCTTGTGGAGCCCAGTTTGGGAATATAGAACGAAAGGAAGATCTTCCACCGAGCGACTGATATTACTCGGTAGACCGACGGTCCGAATGTTGTTGTTCAGAACTTGTATATATGCAAGCTTATCTTGAAAATGTCGTAAGCGAGATTTAGGCATCAGTCAAATATCTTGCGTTGTACCGTTGTTGGCTACCCGCCACAGAGCTCATAGCCCACCTGGTGTTAAGTTGTTACCGGAGCCCATAGACATCTACAACGTAAATGCCGCCACCCTACCTTGAGATATGAGTTCTAAGGTCTCAGTATAGTTACAACGGCTGCTCCGCCCTTCAAACCGAAACACATTACTGCTTCACAGCAGAAATAGACAGGGTGGTGGTACCTACCCGTGCGGACTCACAAGAGGTTCTTCCACCAGTAAATACAAGTGCATATAGCACGTATTTCATTAGAAAAATTGGTACCCGTCCACGTCATCTCGGATCCTCCCGATCCACTAACGGTGCTTCTAGGTACTTCAAGCACCGGTCACCGTTCTCGTCGAACCCGTCGCTTGCGACGAAGGGCTCGACGAGTAAATTAATTCTCAGACACAGCCCACTGAGTTTCTCGCCGGATCTTCTCAGTGGGTCGCGTTTCCGATCCGGTGGTAGATTCTGCGAAGCACGACTCTTGCTAGGGTTCGTGTTAGCAACGTCATCAGGTTTGAGCCCCGTGAGCTCACCTACTAGTTAGGGTTACGCTGGAATAGCCTCTCAAGGCTACCAGCTTAGGTAGGAAAAAAAAAAAAAGGTACCCGCCTGCTGGATTCGAACAGCGTTGCATCACTAGATACGAATGCACCGGACGTCTTATCTTTTAGGCCACGACGACTTTTAAACTTACTCTTACTTTATAGATTACTGTGTTGCAAAATTGTACGTATTTAAAAAAAAAACTTCTAACTCTGCGAAAATATGAACGTGAAAAAGGTTGTGCCCAAAGAAGCAAGAAGAATATAAATTATGTTGTATTTAAAAACTACAATTTAATTTTTTATTGCTTAGATGGGTGGACGAGCTCACAGCCCACCTGGTGTTAAGTGGTTACTGGAGCCCACAGACACCAACAACGTAAATGCGCCACCCACCTTGAGATATAAGTTCTAAGGTCTCAGTATAGTTACAACGGCTGCCCCACCCTTCAAACCGAACCGCATTACTGCTTCACGGCAGAAATAGGTACGGTGGTGGTACCTACCCGTGCGGACTGACAAGAGGTCCTACCACCAGTAAACACGCAAATTGAAATTTTGCGGGTTTAATTTTTGTAGACTATCTTATTCCTAAGTAATATATATTAGGTTCGTCTGATTACATGAAAAAATCCAGTAAATAATGATAATGTTTGTTGCAGATCCGCGGCGTGCTGCAGGACCTCGCGACGCTGGAGACGGCGGCGCACACGGCGTCCAACCGGCTCTCCACGCTGCGCTCCACGAGCGCGCCGCAGCGGCACGAGGAGCACATCCTCGTCGGGCACATCAACGCCATCGAGAAGGAGAAGGCCATACTTACCAACGATCTGCCAACTCTTATCAGGTTACTTGCCTATTACCTTTGTTACAGTTTAAGTAGAATCAATGAGTTACCGCCCTTCAGTGTTTGGTTCAACTCTTAATATCAGTAAAGAACAAGTATTAAAATATCTTTCTCAATTTGTGTTGTCGAGAAATAAAATTTAAAAAATCCATTAATTTCAAAGTCCTGAAATTAGTTTTTTGAATAGATATTATTCAGTTCGATTTGTCCTTAAATGCTACAAGTAGTCTTTAGTCGTGAAACCACTTTTTTGCCACGGTTTTAATAAATTTCGACTCTTCTTAATTTGAATGAAAACAAAGATCGGTGGTCGTGCAATAACAAAGAAATTGAATGTCACACCGCACTTGGGTTCTAAGAGCTGCGTGCTCTCATACCACAAACAGTTCGAACAACAATTTACAAGTGCACAATAAACACAGAGCCACATCAGACGACGACCTGTTGTCGACGACGGACCACGACGGCGAGCTCGGCAGCACGGACGACCTCAGCGCCACCTCGTCGCTGCGCTCGCAACGCCTCCTGCACCGGCAACTCTCCTCCGACGACCCCATCATGGTTTGAAATCCGCCTCTTCAACCGATCGGTAATATTTCATTCAATTCAGCCCTTCGAAGCTTCTATTGAACGTCAAATATTGTTGAGAGTAATGCTGACATTAGAGTGGTTGTGAAACACCATGGTAGTAGACGTTTTGGGTTTTCTAGGCTCGTATTTGTCAACTGTATAGAAAATACATCACTGTCTAGTTTTAAAGCCTGTTAATTTGTATGTATAATGTTGAAACGGAAATCCGCACGTGTTCTTTTTAATTGGTTTCTTATGGTCCTGTCCAATTACACAGTCTTGTGAACTGTTAATGTTTTATATCGAAAAAATATCTAAAAGAAAGGAATATAGGTCTGTTTTATTATCGATCTTTATAATATGTAACACGTTAACGAATTTTGTCTACTTATTTGAGGTATTACACGAAAAGAACATATTTTGTTTGAATTTAGAATTAAACGCAATGAAAAGACATTTATAGAGTAATATTCAGGACTGTGATTGTGTTTGTGAAAATTATTTTATTGAAAGCTAGGTTAAATTCGTCAGAGTAAAATTGTGTTCTTAAAAAAATTGTTGAAATGTTTAACAAACTGTATAAATAAACTAAATTGATTTTTATTATAAAACGTTCATTTAAAAAGTACATATTACTGAAATTAATCATTTTTATATTCCTGACTCCAAACAAATTAAGTAGATTATAGAAAAAACACAAGGCCGTGTGTATTATGTCAGAATTATTACAGCAATAGACAGGTTGTCTTCACCGAACGTACTTATAATTTAGTGAGAAGTATATCATTGTAAAAAAGTTGCGAAAAGTAACTTATTAGTAAAGCTTAAACAGGTTTTTATATAAATTAATGATAACGTCAATGTGTAAAATTATTTTCATATGTAGATATTCTAGTGTCTCAATTTCCTGTGGACATTCTATTTTACGAAAAAAAAATATTTCCTTGTAAATATGTACAATTTTATCTTATTTTACTAGCTCTAATATACTTATGCGATTTTATAGTCTATAAAGAATTTGTGAACGAATTCTAAATTTAACAATTATCTTTATAAAACTAAAGATAAATGCATTTCATGTACTGATTCTTGTTTCAATGTAGTTAGTGTAAAACTATAGAGAAATTTAAATGCTTTCGTTTTTTCCTTTTGTCAAAAGTTTCTAATTACCTACACACATTGATAAATAAATCATACATTTAAGTAACTCCTACTACCATAAGTACATACATATACGTAAACAGCTTTTCTTATAAATTAACGCTTTAATTAACATTAATTGTTAAACAAACATACTTTAATTCCATGACACGCTACAATGTAGAACCCTCAAACTATGCTATTATCACAAAAAATATATGTTTAGAAAATAAAAAATTGAAACATTACAGTACTTGCCTCTTGTATTGCTTCATAATATAAAAGACTGTCTAATTAAGCTATGAATTTATAGTTAAGTCACAAATAAAGATAATAAATATCTGTTTTTAATTAGTTTGTAACTATCTTACAACGAATTTTTCTGTGAAAATTTATTGTTTATAAGTTCTTGATCAGGTATTTTGTAATTATTTAAACTGTAGTTTATGACTACTGTTCTTACGATACTAAAAGCTTCGAGTAGGCACGATAAATTTTAATGCACCAAGCTTACTGAATCTCAACATTTTGAAACAAACTATATTCTCAAAGTGAACACAAAACTTTACCGAACCAAGCAATATTACCATTATTAACAAGTATTCATATTAAAATTCTCGTAGACCGTTTTCAACACCCGCCTAAGGAATCGAGAGGATTCATTACACTGGTAGAATTCTTGGGAGTTTATCAATAGTCAAATGCTGGTCTATAAATTGGTGCTTATTATTTTATTAAAACATTGTCTAGGTATTCATAACTAAAACTTAAAGAAATCTAAAACAGTAAGTACCGTAGATGAGCTTTGGCAATGCTGTATGAACAAAACAAGTAAATATCTTTGATTGCACACATGAAATATAATAATTTGCATTCTGCACCCAAAAGCAAACAGATAATATCCAAAATATTTGATTTTTGCCTAAGTAGTGGAAAATGTAATGTTTTTATTATGTGATTAATTAGACAGATAAATATCTATTGATGTTAACTACTTAACTGAATATTCTAAAATCATTTTATAGAGGTTCAGACCAACTATTTCCGGCCATTTTGAACCTTAAATAATTTCAAAGGCTCCAAATTAATTTGAAAAAGATCTTATTACATATATATTTTAATTCATATTTTTTTTAATTGTAAAATAGACACTGATAATACTTTTAAATTTGTAAAGTACTATCAGTATTTTTAGACTACTATGCGTTTGGAAATAGATGCCACCCTTATGCATTCTAGTTTTCTCTGTAGTAATAAAAATATACTCATTAATAGTGTACAAAATCAATGAAGAGGACGTGTATCGAGGCTTTTGTATTAATTTATAAGTTTTATGGAAACTAAGAGGTGTGTGTGAAGAAGATGCGATCTGTGTGGATGTTGTACTTGTAAATAATTAATTATATTTTATTGGGGTACTATTTTATCTTTGAACTACTACTACTACTATGTTGCTGATGTTGATTTTTAAGTGCCTAATAATGTTATTCTATTTCATTTACTAATTCTAACTGGTGCATATTGTGATTGGTTTGTTAAATTTTATAAGTGTTAATCTGTCTTCTAAATTAAGCCATCGGAATTTCTACCATTTCCTATTAGTGATATCTAAAAATAGAACTGATAAATATGGAATTTTGAGATATTATTAAGATATTTTCAGTACTACTGCTGTAATTGCAAGAACTGCAAGTTTTACACTAGTTTCTAAGGACCAAAACTAAACACATAGTAATTTGTATTTCTGTGTTAGTTGATTGTGAAGTCGCCACACATTTGTAATCATTAGATTGTCTTGTATCATATAACATGTATATTTCAAGTTATTTTAGGAATCATATTGTAATGTGTCAATGCGATGAAGTGTAACCAAAATTCTGTATACAAAAATATGAATAAAAAGCAATTTCTGTGATTTATTTATTTTCATTCTGTATTTATGTTTCCATTTGTTCAACATATGAGCAGGGTAATTTTCCTATAGGGCAAGCAGACCACTGAAAATGATCTGAAACTAATTCCCATATTCCATTACCTTGATATGTACCCTTAGATTTGCATTCATTTAGTTCTTGTTCATTTTGAAGGCTTTCAGTCAAATCTATTGTGTCTTGTGATGATTTAATATCATCAATTGTGTAAATTCTGGAGGATGATGTTACAAAATTTTGCAATGGTGTTGATATTAACTTTGCCAACTCGCATATTTTATTTGTAACAATATCTGGCAATGGTGGTTCTACTAAATGTAAGATTTCCTTTACAAAGTAATTGAGAAATGGATTATAAGTCGAAATTATAGGCTGAATGAAGTGAATATTTTGCAATTCCATTGGGATTGGTTTATTCAAATCAAACACTATGCCACTTTTATAATTTGGAAACCAGTGGCGGTATAAGGCTTTCAGTTCCTCATGCGTCCTGTGCCCTTGATACTTATTTCTGTAAAAAACAACCAATATATATGTACAGCATTTAATTTAAAACTAATTAACTACAAATCTAACTTAAGTTGCATTTGGTAAAAATTTGATTAATTCAACATTACTTAGTATCTTTGTGTACTGTACAAGTTTTATATTTATTTATTAACTACTTACTTTTCCATTTTTTTCAAGATATGATTTCTTTTTCTGAAGGCACTGAAAATTTCAGAGATCCACAAAGCTGCTAAATTAGCCCGTTGCTCATTACTCTCCTGACTTATTTTGATAAGTCCCATTATAAATTCAAGAAGCAAATCATTTAAATGTAGGCACCTGATTAGTACTTCAAAACAATGGATATACTTTTTTTTCAATTTTAGATGACGTTTCTGAGGCTGTGTACCAAAATAGTTAAATGTATCTAGTGACAAGATCAAAGACTCATCACCAAGCAAAGCTTTGTTGACATATTTTCGTGCATTTTTACTTTTTAATAAAAATTTACCATGATAGTTCATTTTATCAATCAATGTTGAAATAGTAACTTGTCGAAGATTGCTTAGCTCAATTTTATCACCAATTAAATCCCTTGCATCATTTATGATCGAATCTCGCATATCAACATCCACTATGTCAGCCAAAGTTTTAATTTTGCATTCAGAATTAGAGCAAATACTTAATGAAATGCAAAAATTCACTAATATCATTACTCTAGTTTCTTCTTGGCTATCTGTTTCTTGTCTGCCTGATTTATAGTCTGTTATAAGAAGTTTATGTTCTTTCCAATAATTTGACTTTAGCCAATCAAGCCCAAATTGCGTTGCATCTCTGAGCAGGGACAATGAAGGCAGATTATTATTGTGGGCAGTGTCATGTCTCAATTCCACTATCCAATCTGGAATACCTACATTTTTCGCGGCTTTAGATAATGTGTTTTCCTTAGTTATGGATACATCTAACATGTGATTTATAAATCGCATAATCGCAGATGAATATGCCAAACGAAGCACATGATCATTTCCATTATCATCGGGGCTATTCAAGTCTTGAATATGGACTTGCAGTAATATTAAAGTAGATTCTATTCCTGACGGCAAGGAAGGACATCGTGCTTTCCATAACAACAACCATTTTAGTGCTTCATTTTCGTCAGGATTCTCTGAATATATTAAATTCATCACTTTAAGCCATTCCTCTGTATTTACCCAGGGTACCACAACACAATTACTCATTTTTAAGAAAATTATGCTGTATTTTAATATTTACTTTAGAGCCCATTGACACACACAACATGTGCTTAATTGTGCTTCAAGTAACTTGACAAAAAATGTCAAACATATCCTTATGTCAGACTATCAATTTTTAAAAGACCAAAGGTTCTTCAATGCTAATCATTTTTAAAGAAGTGTTTAAGTGCCGGTGTCAAAGTATAGCTATTACTAAGTGCGAAAGAGTAAATAATAATATAAAAAAATAACCTTTTTTGTCTAGTGCATTTTATGTGATTTTAAATGTAATAATTTCCATACTTAAATAGTATGCAGGGTAGAAGTAAGAAGCACTATCTTAATGTTTTAAAAAGTATTCACTGAAAGGCGGCCAAATAAGACGGCGCCATAGTAGCAATTGGAAACATTTTAAAAACAGTACCATAAACTATTAGAGTAAGATGGTAAATTAACAAGAAAAGAAACACGTAATCTACGTAAATAGTAATAAAAACAAATAGTTTAAAATTTAAATACTACATATTTTTTTATCATACAAGTCACACTTCACACTGCTTAAAACTGCTATACTCATACCATTTCCACTTCTTAAACTGGCGCTATTTAGTTGAGTATTCGAACTATAACTTGTTGCTTACAAGTAGACATCTTTTCCTACCGTTCAAGATGGTATTCCTTAGTTCTGTCCTCCATGCAATAGCTTGCTGTTTACAGGTGTTTACTTCTACTATGGAGGCTTCACTTTAACGTTCATATCTTACTTTCAATAATTAGGTTAATATATTATTGTAAGTTAATTGCTTGAAAAACAATATATTCTTTTACTTAAAAGTATACCTACTTTTATTATGACATTAATTAAAATTACAATAACTGGAATATTAAATTTTTAAAATACCTGAATTTAAACAATAGTTTTTTGTCGTAGTGAAAACCACGCCAAAAAACGTCGTTACAGTAGTACTGCGTTCCGTTTTAAACAGTGACCAATACCGTTCACCGTCCTCGTCGAACTCTTCTATTACGACGAAGAGTTCCACGAGCGAACTAACCCATAGACAGAGCCCACTGGGTTTTTCGCCGGATATCCTCAGTGGGTCGCGATTCCGATCCCGTGGTAAATTCTGCGTAGCACTGCTCTTGCTAGGGCCAGTGTTAACAAATTTTCTTAGGTTGAGCCCGTGAGCTCACCTACCCGTCCGGGCGTAGCTGTTAGTTGTGTCTTAGGCTACCAGCGAATAGGTAGGGAAAAGTGACCAGTATTAGATAATTATAAAAGAACAGCTTCGCAATATATGCAGTATGACGTCATACCTTACAGCGCACGCATTGGAAATCGGACCATAACGGAAGTGTGGTAGCTTATGACGGTGTTTTTTAAGAATTTCCACTTTCTACTATAGCCCCACTTTAATTGGCTCTCTTTCAGTGGACGCTTTCTAATATCGTGTTTTTAGATACGTAAATGTTTTAATAAAAATTTATGAGGTCCAATTTTTTTTAGTGCTTACTTGATTCTGCTGTAACAGTCACCTTATCGATGAGTGCACATATCGGTATCACAAAAAATTACCTATGTCTATTAGATCCATTTAAGTCCGTACAGAGTCCCTTCTTTATTTCCCGTGAAAATCCTGGATCGTTTTTGGTTCACTCGTAATTAACACCACAATAGAAACAATAGGAGTTTTTTTCTCCTACCTACGCCGAAAGTTCGGTTTTCGTCCCGCTGTACAGGGAAGAAAGTGTAACCTTTTCTCCCTGGGTACAAGTGCGCATGCGCGTTAGTGTCTACGTCTGCTCTCACGCACCTAAAATTCTCCGCCATTGTTGTGCTCGGGTAATTTGCAATATTGTGTTTAGTGTAAAAGTGAAATAAACAAAAGGCAATAAAAGTTAATACTGAAGTACTAAACAAAGATGAGTTCATCAGACAGTTCTTATTGAATTAGTAGTAGTTTATTTAATAATTAAAAAACAGTTAAATTGTTATTTTATGAGAATGGGGGGGCTCCGCCCCTCCTACCCCCTGCCAGGGCTTGGCCCCTGGACTCCACCGGGGCTTCGCCCCTGGACCCCGGCTCGGTACTCTACGAACTTTCGGCCTGGTAGGAGAAAAAATAGTATGTGCACCGCGGGAAAAAAGTAGGATATCTCACCCGCGTGTTGGCCCGCGAGAGGAAATGTCCTACTTTTCTCCCTTGGTGCACAATGTACTACAGGGTGGCCCATAAGTCCTTTGAAAAGTAAAATTTGAATAAAACGAACAGGGCGCGCGTGAGCGGTGCAGGGGAAGCGGGGGGAGTAACTTCGGTTTCTGGGAATTTAGTCGCGATGGAGCGTTTTACCGGAGCGGACCGTGCGTTTTGTGTGCGCGAGTTTTATAAAAACGACAATTCGGCAACCGTTGCNACTTTTGTAGTTCATGGTGGGCGGAATGTTCACCCTGTTTTTTCCAACTCCTAAAACCGTCACTAGAGAGCGCTGTAATACGCAAATCCGTTGTCATGATACCCTTGTCATAAGTGACACTGTATCCTAGATTATTGATTTTTTATTGAATATACAAGTTTTTCTAATCCAAGTTTATTTTCATAATCATCCCTCGGAAAGTCGAACAGAGGTCATTTTGAATAAACTTTAGTGTCATAAGAATCTATGTTTTGTTAAGTTCATTTTGGTATATGAATGGTTACTTAATGAATAAACTTGTTTCAATTATTTTACATTAAACATGTGACAGAATTGATGACCTGACTAGGTATATATTAATATACAAGGATTGCTCGCTTAAAGGTATAAGATAATTTTTATGAAAGAAGGATTACAGGTGGCCAGTAAGCGTTTCCAGTTTCACCAGGACAGGCAGCTGCTTAGCGAATGAATCTACTAGCGGATCGGAATCGCGACCCGCAGAGATCGTCGAGGAACTCGCGGGCTGATCTATGGGTTGGATTGCACGAGTATCAGTCCTTAAGTCTGCTCTTAGTGTTAGAGCTGAAGGCGTCTAATGTAAGAGTTATTGGATCTGATGGATCCGTAAGGACGTGTTCAATCTAGTATGGAGGGTAATAAGTTTAATTATTTTTGAGTAAATGAAAATGTTTTTTCAAGCAATTTGATGTATGTATATTAACTTAATAATCGAATTATTGAACTGATGTTAGGCACGGTAAAAGTGATTACGTGATCAAAGCACTTGACCGCTTGACCTCGAAAACAATGTTCACAGTAGAAAAATGACGACGATTTATGACGTCGTTACCCTAGGACACAACTTAGGTACTCTCATCCAAAGCGGAACGAACACTAAGAGCACTGAACACTGCGGGTAGTATATTTTTAAATATTAAGTGTAATAACTGCAATTTTTTTTCCTACTTTTTCTAGTAACCTTGAGGGGTCATACTAGATTCGTCGAACGAGTGGTGAGTTCACGGGGCTCTAATCTGGTGACGTTTCTAACACTATTCCTAGCGACTCACTGAGAAGATCCGTGTGCTTAGTGCGAGTTTTTTAACGTTCTCGATAGCGTAAAAATATATCTGTATGGAATGGGATCGTTTGCCTACGTTTGGCGCTAGGGGCGCTGTTCCAACTGCATACAAAATTGGGCTAACTTTTACGCTATCGAGAACGTTAAGAAACTCGCACTAAGCACACCGGCGAGAAACTTAGTGGGCTGTGTCTGTGGGTTAATTTACTCGCCGAACCTTTGGTTTGGAACGGTGACCGGCTATGCAGTATAATTCCGAAATTGGTATACTAAGCGCGCTGTAGCATGATGCGGGTGACAGTTGCCTGTATGACGTTGACAACTGTCAGTACCACAGGACTAGGAATGTGACGTTTAGCTTGATCTCAGTGGGTCGCGATTCCGATCCGATCCGGTAGTAGATTCATTCGCGAAGCAATTGCTCTTGAGTTGTTGGGTCTCCTTCAGAGGCTTAATGGTAGATTTCCAATTACAGAGCATAATGCGACTCAAGCACGCACAATGCCGAATTATGCTGAAGCTTAGTTGAGCATTATGCCGCATAATGCGCTCTTGTGCTGTAATTGGAAAACGGCCATATTGTTCTATACGTACAATTGCTTATATAGCATCCATTTTGAAGGCACACACATAAACATATATCTATCTCGTACTTACTCGACACTGTAACTCGCAAGAAAACAATATAACAGTATTTCAGTGCGTACATAAAGTAAACATGAATATACGTAAATGTCTAATGAGGCCGAAAATCCGCTAAACATGGCGCACCAAATGTCATTGTCACGTCAGTTCAGCCGTCTGTTTTGGGTTGTACATTATCTAATGACTTTGATATCGATTTAATATGATTGCTTAATAAAATTTCTTATTTTATCATGCTACCCCGCTTAAAATATACAAAAATAATAATTAAAACATATTTTATAGGGTCTCAAGAAAGTCGATGTCCCAAAATTATTATCTATATATATTTAAATTCACTATGGAGCACTCATCCGAAAAATCGGACACAATTTTTCGGTTGGAATCTATTGATCATGACACTAATCATAAATACCTCTTCATCACTCTCATCCATATCACTCTCAAGTGAGAGTAATTCAAATGGTGCGGCGGCGCACCCTTTGCTAGAAGTAATATTGTTCTGTGGGCGCACCTACCTTGAGGTGCGTTGCGGTACGGTGCGTTGCGAACGTTTCATAACTACGATTAATACATGTTCGTAAGAGATTGACCCATTTGATAATCGATTAAATACTCTTTTTTAGAGAAGAAATCGATTTTGATTGCAATCGAGACCTCAGTTCAAAGGGCATCAAACTCTTTTAGTCTTTGCTTGGTATTTATTATGTAACTGATCTGTGTATTAAAAAATAGCATAAATTATGTAGCACAACCAGCCTATTTCATTATTTTCGATCAGTCCCCTTTCGTAACGTTTGTATAATCTTGTGTTCGGATTATTTTGAATTCAGTGCACTAAAAGCTCAACGTTAAGTATTGATTTAATCTTATATTTTGACATAGATTAAACGCTTATAATAAAATTAGTCTGTGTAGACTTTAGATCACTAACGTCATTTCCACCAAAGTATAAATTTCGTTTAAAACTAATTTCTATTATTATTCTGAAATATAATAACAACTAATAATTATGTACGGTAGTGTTCCTTTAATTGTTAGGTTACTAGCTTCGTCAGTATCAGTTGCCAACCGAGCTGGGAAAATCGTTCGCGATGTAATGAGCAAAGGGGAACTTGGTATAGTGGAAAAGGTAAGATGTTAATAGTATTTTATTCGTATTCCAAAATTGAAACCGACAATTGAAGCCCAGCACACAAATCTTACTAGGTGCCCTTGCTTATGGTTCTGGGAGAGCTAATATGTATGAACGGTGGTGACTACTTACCGTCAAGTAGTTCTCTAACATCCCTAATAAAAGGAGGGAAACATTTTTTGCAAAACTGAATTATGATATGTTTAGTTCTCTAACATTCCTAATAAAAGGAGGGATTTTTTGCAATACTTAATTATGATGTTTTAGGGTAAAGACGACTATCAAACAGAAGCAGATAGGTCTGCTCAACGCTGTATTGTTGCATCACTTGCAGCTCAATATCCTAACTTAAAAATAATAGGTGAAGAAGATAGTCTGGAGGATGAGGTAATTCATTTGAATAATATTGTTATCAGTAATATAGCCACTGAATAATATTTGTAATACAATAATGACTGACTGTGGCCTTGTATTACCTTTGATCACTTATAGAAAAAATATCCTTTCTCTTAATGAAGGTAATATTTGTTTGTATTTAATTTGACATTGAATATACAATTAAATTGTAATAAAACTATTGTAGTCTATTAATGTAATTGAAATTTGAAAATTCAATCAATTTCAGGGTGAAGTTGTGAGTGATTGGTTAGTGAATGAAATAGATAAGGAAATATTAAAATTACAATGTCCTCCAAATCTTCAAGAAGTCAAGGAAGAGGATATTGTAGTGTGGGTGGATCCACTTGATGGAACTTCAGAATATACTCAAGGTATACAATTTAAAATGTGTTATGGTTGTACATTTGTAAAAGAAAGTAGAAAAGAAAGTCCCCTTCTCTTTGATTTCATGATATAGAAAGTGTTTTATTACATTATGTAAACAATTCTAGGTGCCCTAATGTTGAAGAGAGATCCATGGGAAAGATGGAAAATGTACTTAACACATCCATTTATTAGTATGAAGTGGTATTTAAGCTTACTACAAAACAATTATGGTAATAAATTAAGAGATTAATCGAAACTGGATTATGTAACCATGTAAATAATATAGAAATTTCAGAACAGAAGGTCATTTCACTTTTTATATTAAATTCTATGCTATGCATAAAGTAAAGTACTTATTGTAAATAGCGTAATGATTGCTGTTATACTGTTATTAACAAGGTTTGAATAGTTAAAATTACAAACATTTTCTTTGTGCTTTCCTATCAAAATTATGCATGCCATATTTAATTTTAATAGTTTTGTCCTAAACAATCTTTGTAGTAATTGTTGTTGTTTTTTACCAGTGGAATTATTGAAGCATTAATGTTGTAATTATTATTTGTTGCAGGATTCTTAGAACATGTGACTGTACTAATTGGTATAGCTGTGAATGAGACGCCAGTTGCTGGTGTCATCCATCAACCATACTATAAAAATATAGTTGAAGGTGACAAGAAAATCGGTAGGACAATTTGGGGACTGCATGGTGTGGGTGTAGGTGGATTTACCCCGGCTCCTCCTCCTGAATCCATTGTAATTACAACTACTAGAAGCCATTCGAATCCTGTTGTGGAGGAGGCACTAAAAGTTATGAATGCTTCAAAGGTGCTTAGGGTTGGTGGAGCTGGTTACAAGGTATCTATACTACTGTGAGATTCCTTTGAACTAATAAGACACTCAAAACTATGTTAAAATAAGAAAAGTTAGTATATATATAGTTAAAAACACAGCCACTTGAACTATGTTATG